AAAAAAAAAAAAAAAGAAAGAAAGAAATGGTCGAGAGAAAAAGGAAAAAAAAAGAAGTTACTACAGGAATTTCATTGGTTTTGACTTGACCACTAAATGGTGTATGGACATTTTAACTAAATTCATCATATACAAGATCAATAGTAAACGCAATCATTTTTGTCGTTCATAATCTCATCCTCACACTCAACAAATTTCCCTCTACACAATGGACTCGACTTTGCTAAGAATTAATTCAATCAAGATTAGTTTCTCGTTATTCTCACAATTATGCATGAGAAACAAGTCCAAGGAGCCCTCATATTTCAACTAGTCCAGAATGTAAGTAACATAAATAACAAGAGCTTCAATATTTCAAAAATTGCCCAAAAAAGCAAACTTAAGCCACTTACTTCCTCAGGTGGAAGACGAAACAGTTGCCGATACTCCTCGCTTCTTAAAGATGCCGCAGACTGTAACAACACACACTTCACGAAAATAAGCATTCAAACCAATAAACTGTCATATTTCCAACTAAGAAACTAAATTATTTTGAAATTTAAATGTCTTTGACACTACTGATCACAGAATCAATCTAAACCAGCAAAAAAACAAACAATAGAAATCTTGGTAGAGAAGAATTGATAATACCTGGACTTCAATATCTTTACGACTGTTAGCCGACGAATCGGATTGCTCGTTACGATCGGAGGGATCACCGATGCCAACCGACGAGGTTTCAGAACCGGCGTCTGAAGCCGGTTTCGAAGGCAACGGAGAAGAAAGGAGAGGCTCCACTGACTGAGAAGGTTCGCTCTTCTCCTTAGTTGGAGATGCTACAGCCATGGCAGTGATCTAGGGCGTTGGCAACCAATTGACGTGAATCTCAATTGAGAGAGAGAGAGAGAGAGAGAGAGAGTTGATGAAATTGATTGACTTGAGATAGACGTGAATTTCAAGCTCCGTAGACAGTTTTACGCATCTCAAGTCTCAACAACCATTCGCACGCGTAACCCACCGTCCGTGCTGGTTAAACGTCTACCTGCCATCTAGCTCCCCGGGCCAGAGAGACGGGATATCTTGCAAACAAACTCTACACACTCTGAGTAGGTAGACCTGTTCATGTACCGAATAACCCGACGGACTGAACCGGTGCGGCACGTTCTTTATCGGGTTTGGACATAGTTTTAGGCCCGACTCGTGCTGGGTCTAAGGCTAGCCTATAAGCACTACTGCACCAAGCTCAACTATTTTTCAGGTCAGGGATGATATTTCTCAAATAAGCTTGGTATATATACACTAGTCTAATCTCGAATTCTTTTCAAAACCGATTCAGTTTTACTCGAGAACTGTTTTTTGGCAAAAAATTATTGATTTGGTCAGTAAACTGTTAATATATGCAGTTGAACTGTCAATCCGAACAATAGTTTTTAGTCTTTTTTTTTATTTTTTTATTTCTTTTATTTTCTTGTCATAGCAGGTTTTTCGTTCAGACCAGACAATTGGACCATTCGACCCAATAACTAGACCCCAAAACGATTTTTATGTTAATGAAAAGGTAAAACCCAGCTTGAATTGGCCCATGAATAAGTCTATTCTGAAAGTGGCTTTGGATTTACTACTCACTTGCTGTTTCCACATCTCTACCTACGAGGCATTACAGTTGCGCATTGGGAATATTTATCATTCATGACGATGGTGCTCCCTGGGTAGGAATGTGGGTAGCAGTTCCCAAGTGTCTGAAAGCATATGTATGCAATTGCACATTGTGAATATTTCTCATGTATGGAAGATATTCCAAATGTGCAGTTAGATGCCATGCATGCATAGCTTCTACTTGCATGAGATCTGAGCCACTTTAGCTTTTAAATTATAGGGGTGTATTAATAAATGAGCCATATTTAAATGCTGCAATGTCAATATCAATTGATCATGTTCAACAGGGATTCACCTCAATTCAAACCTGACACAAAAACTCAGTTATGGCTTACCAATTCTAAGGAGTTCAAATCTGCTCTCACAGAGCGCTCCTTACACTAACCTTACAGCATGTATCAGTTGTACATCAGGAATATCTTCTATACTTGTATGTTATTAATCATAGAAGATGTTCACAATACATGATGGGATGTGACTGTATAGTCAATATGGAAAGTGTTCTGTAAGGAACAAATCCCAATTCAATTCTAACCCGATTATTTAAGTTCATAAAGGGACTGGTTAATTTTTTTACTCTGTGTAGGAGATCGTAACCCAGCCAAGCCACAGAAAAGCCTTTAGTTTCTCCAATATTGATCTCACATCTTGGAGACCATATCTGTTCCCATAAACAATTCCAATACGTTCCAATATGATCTTTACATGCATTATCTCACCATAAGACTGGAACCTACAACGTCTGATATGTGTAGACGCAAAAAAAAATATTGGGGACCTACCATGTCTGAGATGTAATGGAAATGACTATGTTGGAAGTGTGTTGGGACAGTTGAGTCCAAAATCATCGGGAAGACGGGACTTTTCAAATATTCTCTACAAATAACCTAAGGTACTACTACCATAAATAGGGTGCAAATGGATCGGATCATGATCCGATCCTATTTGGTAGAATTTGGATCACCCCTATTTGGATCTTTGGATCAGATCGGAATTGGATTTGGATTCAAATCACCCCTATTTGATCCAAGAAGATCCGATCCAATATATTATATACTTATAAATATAAATATATAATACATATATATATATGTTATTTTTTATTTATAAATATATTTTTATATTATATTTTATAAATTTGCTATATTATTTATTTTTTTATAAAAAACATGTATATATATGATGAGAATAATTAAAAAATACTTATATTTTTTGTTTTTACTTTATATAAATTAGTATATTTTATTTTTCTTTTAATAATTTATTATTTTTTAAAGAAAACAAATTGACTCAGATCAGATTCGAAGATTCGACTTACCAATAGGATTCGAATTCGAATCGAGTCCTATCAGATCTGATTGGATCTTCGGATCGAATCGGATCCGACATAAATAGTGTCGAGCATATTTGAATATACATTGAATTCGAATCCGATCTGATCCGTTTGCATCCCTAACCACAAATTGCCATTAAATTAATTATGATAATTGAAAATGCTTCCAACAGTGAAACACAGGATGATATGATCATTCATCACTTTATGGATCAGTCAAACTCTGTGGATGCTCTAAGGGGGTGTTTATCATTCATCAACAAGGTCGGTTTTGTTTCTGAAAATAAAATCAAGTGCCATGTCAGCAAAAAATGATATAAGTTTGTTGATGTGTCAATTGATTTGTCTTTCAAAAACAAAACCAATCATGTTCTAGCACACCCCTTTAATTTTAGATATATCATAGTTAGGATAGAATTTGAAAATTAATAAAAGTAATGATATGGTTAAAAATAAACTTAAATACTTGTACTAAATGTACACCTGCAGAAATTTTAAATTACAATAACAATTATTATTATTATTATTATTATTATTATTATTATTACTATTATTATTATTATTACTATTATTATTATTATTATTATTATTATTATTATTGTTATTATTATTATTATTATGATGATGATGATGATGATGATGATGATGATGATGATGATGATGATGATGATGATGATGATGGTTACTACTACTACTACTACTAATACTACTACTGAATTTTGTATTTCATTTCTGTCTTAAATAAAAATAATTTTTATTTTAACAAATATTTTTACTTAATATGATGATTGTATAACATTAGAAATGTTTTGAAATACATAATTAATATATATTCTTTTATATATTCTTTTGATTACTTGTACCTTTTTATTATTTTTTAAATATTTATTATTTAACTATTATATCATCGATTAATTCATTTGACCCAAACCACTAACCCATGACCCAAAAAGAAAAATAGTTTTTGTATTACATTTCCATTATTGATAAAATTATATCTTATGTATAACATTTAATTTTGGGATTCTTTGTATTTTTTATTTTTTAAAAATTTATTATTTCACTATGACATCATTTTCATTTCTAGGTTGATTTTAATTTTGGCATTCCATTTCATCATTTACAAAAATACTTTCTACATTTCATACTTATTTTGTTCAGTATAATGAATATACAATATTAATGTACCCAATTCTTTTTATTTGTTTGTATTATATATTTTATTTATTTTAATTTGTATTATTTAATTATGGCATTATTTATTAATGGATTTGACCCCAATTGGTTGAATTGCTTACCCACCACCGAGAGAGAAAAAATGGTTTTGTTATCAAATTATTTATTTTTATATTATTAAAATTAATTTTATGGATTTAATTAGTAGAATTTAATGAGGAGAAAGGTATATCTTAAATATAGGATTTAATAAGAGAATATACCTTAGATATGAAATTTAATGAGAGATAATAGGAAAATAGTTTTACTTCCAATTGGTTTTAAATTTTACATTTCATTTCTATCATTAATAAAAACATTTCTTATTTATAATCAATGTTTCCAACTTGTTGACTTGCCCAATTGAACCATTCGAACTGTCATTTGGCCTTGATTGTAGATTTGGTTTTGTTGAACCCCCCCTTTTAGTTAAAAACATCTAACTTGGGCAATTCAACCATTGGCTTGTTCGACCTAGTAACCAAGTCGCAGGTTACACAATTAATTATGTGCAAACTTTTGGAAACCATAACTTTGCACTCTAATGTCCAATTGGGCTTATCTTTTTTCTTTTTTTTTTTTTGAGTAACTTTTCAAGATATATATGTCCTAAGGGCATTATGTGCCTTGCCTTGCTAGTTTTGAGGAAAAAAAACTTTTTTGTCCGGAAATTGTAATTTTTAATATTTTGTATAAATAAAAAATTTAAAACAGAATTAAAAAACATAAATAAATGTAACATAATACACATATTATATGTAATATATGTAAAACATAATTATAAAATATATGTAAAACATAACTATGATATATATAAAACATAATTATACTATATATTGATAAAATATGCATTTTTACACACACATAGTGTTGATGCAGAGTAGTTTGACTTGTTTGACCTTGACAGTCGAACTATAACCTATGACCCAAAAGGCAAAAGTGGGTCAGCCTCCGGGTCGGTTTTTTAATATTGTCTATCTTACTTATTATTGTTCAATATGTCAAATATATGATGTTAAAAATGTTTCCATTTTTTAATTTCTATATTTTCATTTTACATATTTTTCTATTTTATTATTTAATTGTGTCAACATGGATTGGCCTATTTGACCCAAATGGTTTAATTTCTTACCACTACCTAGATGAAAATACTATTTTTTCTAAGTAGATTTTAAAAGTACAAGAAATATACTTTCCGGCATTGCATGCACGGGTCTGATACTTTTTTACAGTATGCAGCCAGAACTCTCAAAAACCCCGTGCGCAAATTCGCATGAACCGCCTTTTGAGCACTCATTAGGCCAAGGCCCAGTTTAGCTTCAGTTTCGAGCAGCTTTTACTGCTTGCATTGAGAATATCTCCATATTTGTGTACTTCATTTCACGGGAAGATATTCCTAATACAAGGTTTGCAAAAGGCTGTTAGAGCAATGTGGGCACAGATTTGCCTTGATAGAAGCTGATATCACTCATCAGACCAGAACTCTGGACAAAAGACGTCAGCATAGTTGATTTTACTTAATTTTTTTTATAGAACCAAATTGTGCTACACAAGCTTACAAATAGCGATTAGAGAGCTAGGTAAATTACAAACGTTGAGGAAAAAGAAACCCAAATTCGAGTGAGCTTGATTTGCAATCTAGTAAAATACTTGATTCACCTCTCTAAAGACATGTTTATATCTCATCTCTCCCACGAGTCGATCCCCGATCTGCACACAATCCTGAATAATAGACCTAAGGTTCCAGAGGACCTATTAGTGAGGCAGGAGATGACCAACTTTGAGTCCCCTTCAATAGTAATTTTCGAATCCTTGAAGTTTGAGGCCAAGTTATGAGCCTTCCCACGCCGCCCATGCCTCA